ATGAAATCTTCAGATTTCCAGTAAGATAGAATATATTCATGTGATTTGCTCTTAGATAGACGGGTCTCGCTTTGAGTCTTGTGCTAGAAAATATATATTCAAAAAACTGATAAATTGATATACAAAAAATACTTTATGTTGAATAGTAATAAAATCTTCTTGGTGGATACATTCGAATCACTCTTAGTAGTGTGGTTTGGGGGGTTTAAAACCTATGAAGTCTGCATCACCTTCCTCCTCACACATGCCCCACATTAAGGATAACGATCATGCCCAAGATAAAAAAATAACTTTATATAGGGAGGGAATACTCGGATCCTAGGCCTGCCTCGAAAGGGAAAAGTACCTCTAAGAAGACAATACTATAAAACTAAATATAATAAAAGATATTTAACCTACTTTTAAAGAATCATAAAATATGTTTGTGCTTTCTTCGATATAATTAACGTTAGAATTGGAAACACCCTCTCCGACAATTGAGCTATCAGATTTTTCTTTTTTATAGTGTGTAGTTCTTTTTTATGCAAATTTCTCTTGGAGGCCTTTGTCATAGTGGGTGTATTTTGTAGCGACATAATGTTGGCACAAGTATGCAATTTTATAAAAACAAAAAAAATAAAAAAATTTAAAATGTTCTCTTGAAAACAAGCAATTCAGAACAGAACTTTGTACTGAAGACCCTTTTATTATAAATTACAGCTTATTTTTATTAGTTCAGTATATGCTGTAATAATCTGCACAAAGCAGTATGCAATATAAATGACTCGGTATTGCGATAATTCAACACGAGTTAACTAATATTTTTATTTGGCATCTTACCATAGTATGATAATTACTACATAACAAATAATTAAATTGTTTACTAAATTTAGCACCACAATTGTTAGACATGGCAAATTAATCAACAATCACACGTTTTCTAAATTTAGGTGCATTTGGTATGTTATTAATCAGTATTAATCAATATTGATTGAACACCTAATATCGCAATTTTTTGAGATCTACAAAAAGAATACGTGTTCTTAAAATAGCAATCATGTACTAAATAAAATTGATGTATATTTATTAATAATATATAGTAAATGATATATAGCATAATATTAGTTGATACTTTTTCACATAGTATTGCAACCCAATTCTAAAAACAAATGTCAGGCAGATTAATATGAAAAAACTTTGATGCTATGAACTGTAACAATACTTGCAAAAATAGAGATAAAAATATGATATATTGTACAGTAATACTATATATCAAGTGCATCCAAAAATCTATTTATATTATGTTGTTATTAGCTTAGACTTTTCCATTCCAGGTCAAGTCCTGTCCATAAAGAGCTAAGTTACCATGTTCATTTGCTAACAATAATTTAACCAAATCTTTTTTATTTTTTTTAAGAAATGTAATTATATTTGCAATTGTCAAATTTCTATTAGGAATTTTAAGTTTCTTGGTAGATTTTCCTCTGGAAAAAATAAACTTGCCAAGCTCAGTCTGTGCTTGTTTGCTGACTCTTTTGCTATTAATATAAAGGGAAGTTTGAGGGAAAATAGTACGATGGACTGTTACAGAAACCTGATGATTACAACAAACTGTCATATATACTCTAGCATAAATAAATGGTGCATCATATCATATTGCATATATCATGCTATCGATGCTAACCGACTATCTCTAGTATCGAAGATGCTCAAACAAGTATTATCTTTGATTTTAGACCATTGAATTCCATTGAATAGTAAGTTATTAGTATATACATCAGCTTATGAATAATAAACATGTGGCACATATTCTTTTGTATACCCATAAGGATTGCATTTGGCATCGTCATATTGTTCTGGATTTTTGGTTAGATTTTTTTTATTACGGTAATCAGAATCACGAGGATTAGCAGTAACAAGATAACCTTTAGTATCACACTTAACATTAAAGCTAGGAATATGGATATATCCCCTATATTCTTTTCTTCTAGCCCATTTATCAAAGTTATCACCTATGCTATTCATGTCAGAAAAGTTGGTGAGCGGATAATCGTTTGCTGATCATTCTAATATTTCACAAGCCACCCTTCTGGAAATCAAATTTCCTATATCTTTCAACTGTTCAATACAATCATCATAAAAATTCAGACTATTCCATCAGCAAATTTTAAAACCACAATATTGCGCAAGAATTGCGATTGACGCGCAATATTGCGAAAGATTATAAAAAATTGCGAATAGTTGCGAAATTTATTAAGACAATTCGCAAACTTTCGATAGGTAGCCATGTTCAGCACATCATTCCGGTCATAATGGTAGTTAAATCATCAAAATCGG